GCCTKTTGTACCAGCCATGGACCATAGCCTCCACGTTTTCATTTTTGATAGTTAAATATTCACAACCATCTTGTCAGGTCCATCCTCTTGGTTCTYCACAGAGCAAAAGAAACCTCCCTGGTGAGTCAGATTTTGTGGTGAGTAACATCTAAAGCATTGTTGATGCTCAAATTTAGAATGATCATAATCACATAGTATGTCATTATGACTTTACAACAACTTTGTACAATAGTGTCGTGTGCCTTGATAGTGTCAAAAATCATTCCTTTATTTGAATTTCCACACCTCAGAGTTTTCTTATAAGAAACACTTGGAACTACAAGTTTTATAAAACAACAAAAATGGGCTTATTGGGGGACTTTTTTTTTTTCTAAACAAATTTGGCATTAGTTTGCTCTCAAAAAAAAAAATCACCTAGTCATTCTTCCCTGTTTCTCAGAGTTGTTGTAAGGATTAACATAATGCTAGAATAAGGGACGTAGTAAGTATTACTACTTAAAGATCCCTCGAAGATGTTAGCAGGTGGCTTGGGAAATGGTACAATCCCACAAGGTCTACAGAACATAAATCACAATCCCCTGAATCCTACGGGTTTGAAACTGACACACAGAGACTTGCAGAGCAAGACTTGCAGAACCGGAGAGGAAACTGCCCAAGCGAGGCTGACGTGGGTACAGAACTCAGGCTGAGTGAAGTCATCCCTTTCCCTGTCCAACTTCTGTGATTCTAGGTCAGTGATTTTGTCCCTCCCAGGGGAAACCAGGAGGGAAAAAAAAATCTCTGATTTTTTTTTTTTTTTTTGTATGCAGATAATACATTATGTGCACACTGGGGGTTTTGTGAAGTCCACCAAAAGCCTCTCTTCATGGAATTTGCTATTCAAGTGACAAATGATGAGGCACAGTTTTGGAGGCACTAGGAATCCTTTTGGTTTCATTGGGAAAAAGGCATAAAATGTATCATGTCACTTAATGGCTTATTTTCATGTTCTGCTTGTTATTAAAAGAAGAGAGAAACTTCTCTGTAGGTCTAGTGGCATTCATTTTAAAACTAGCCCTGTAGAGGGCGTATATGACGTTTTCAAGGGGAAAGAAAAAGCCTGTGGATTTACAGATTTTTTTCAAAATCTTGCAATATCCATCTTAAAATGACTGTGAATGTAGTTCACTTGAGCTGAGTTTTATAAGGATGGCATTCGAGTCATCCACATCATGTATCATTTCTATACAAAACTTCCAAATTTCAAGTCCGGAAAGGAAAAACATCCCTTAAATAGAGCATGTCTTTATTCATTCAGAGGCTAACAGCCTCCCGTAGATGGAGAAAAGGGACACAAGTTCCTCCAATCACATGAGTTCTTTCAACATTTTAGACACTCAGTCTACAGCATAAATGACAACAACAACACCAGTGAGGGTTGATGACCCTTGAAAATTTGACAGAGCTATTTTTTGTTTCCTTGGCTGCCATCTAGTGGTTAATGATAAAACATGCACCCAAAAAAAACATTCAGAAGAGATAGACCTGTCTTTGAAACAAAAACAAAAGCACAGATGATTAAAGAATTGTCAGACAGTTGGCAATTATCCTTTCTAATAATTTTTACTTATATCTAAAAGTGGTYTTTACTTTTATGAAAAGAGAATMGATCCAATAATCCAATATTGATGTGTCCCTAATATTTGTACTTGGACTTTGGCTAGAAAGATACAGAAGAGAAGGCCCCTGTCTTCCAAGGAGGAGAGATATGAAAATCAATAATTAGTCTTGTAATGGGTGCTTAAAAGAAGAATAGATGAGTCGTGAGGGGCACTAAGGAGAAAGCCCCATTAYTGACCAGGAACTTTTGAGTTGATGTTTGAATGATGAGTGGAACTCTTCAGATAGACAACAGGAAGAGCTTGGAGACTGTGTGTCGGAGAACACTGAGAAACTATGTCGGAAAAATATGCAGAGGCTAAACTAGAAAGGGCCTTTTGAGATTGTATAAGGTCCCTGTTGTTATAACAAATAACCTAAAAACCTCAATAGCACATAAAAATCAGCACTTATTTCTCACTTGAGACTGTAGGAGGGTTGGGATAACTAARCCCTGCCTGTCTTTTATTTTTTTATGGGACCATCCCGGGACTAGTGGACTAGCCTGGGGATTTTTTTTTTTTTTTATCAAGACACTAGCAGAAGCTAAAGAGAAAGAATAGAAATATATGAGGCCTTTTTCCAACCTGTATTTGGAACTAGCAAACTGTCTCCTCTTTACACTTGATTAACCCAAGATATTCACTTGGCTGAACCCAGTCAAGAGGCAGGTTGTCTACCTTTTTAGTAGGAAAAAATGGCAAAGTCATATAGCAAAAAACTCAAATGAAGGGAAAGTGAGAAATAAGTCTAATAATGCAATCTGCCATGAGTTCCATCTTGGAAATGTTGGGTTTGAGGTACCCACGGATTTGTCTAAAGAGTTATAAAGTTGGAAAACCAGTTTGTAACCCAGAACAGAGATCTGGCTTGCAGTTAAGCATCCAAGAGCTCTAAGAACCCAAACATGCAAACTTCTGGGCCTCATCTCACACCAACTCTYAGGAGAGAGTCAATCTCAATAGAAACATCAGGAGTCTGCATACTGATCAGAACCCTAGATGTTGTATTCTGTTCACACTGAGGGTGGAGACCACTGGCAAATAAATGACAAGGTAAAAGACAAGAGATGAACATCAAAAAGAACAGTGGTAGAAAGAAGAAATAGCTCCTATGAAGGACACTAGAAATAGTGGGAAGAGGGATAACAGAAACCAAAGAAGAATGGTGTCCAAACACTAGAGGAGAGAAACTTAAAGCTAAGTACAGGCTGAATTATATCAAATGCCACTCGTATGTCTAATAGGACAGGATTGAGGGGAAAGAAGCCTATAATTGTAAAAGCCCCATATATTTKGCAATTAGGACGTACTTGATGCATAGGAAACGATACTGATGCCAGGCATATCATTAAACCTGTTTTGCAGACAAAAGGAAAAAAAAGTGGCATGAAATAAAATGAAAATCTACCATCTCTTTCATTTCTTTTTTTCACGGATTCCCATGTTATCATTACCATTGATTAATTCTGTAACTACACAGATGTATCACCCAGAAAGTTAGTCTCTGGATAATTAAAGAAATAAAAGTGACATTTTTTTATCTGTTGGTTCACATATGATGCCAAATGTGATTGATGAAACACTAAAAAGGGGCTCTTGCCAATATGTAAGGCCTTATTTATTTGAATGAAGAATTATTTCTTCATTTCTTCATTACTTCATAAAATACATTATGAGTTTTCTTAAGAAGATCAAAGGATGTCAAAGAGTGTGTTAGAGCTAAGTCTTGGATTTCCAAGAGCGCTTTCTAGAACATAATGCTCCAAGTTACATGTCATATACTTTTTCTGAATGTCAGAGCTCAAGATAGTATGTTGGTGCTGGTGACAGGTTGTGAGACACAAAGAAACCAAGGTTTCCTTTGCAAAAATGTTCTGAAATTGAGCCAGCAAAATCTGATTTATCCAAGCCTACTCCTATTCAGATGAAGGCACCTTTATTGAATGTACTTTGCTCAAATGTACTTGATGATTCTCTCTCTCTCTCTCTCTCTCTCTCTCTCTCTCTCTCTCTCACACACACACACACACACACACACACACACACACCAACACACGCTCACACACACACCGAATAGCTGAGTTGATAGACAAGTTCATCATAATCTCTCAACCCAAGCCCAGCCATCTACATCAAATTGCAGATAAATGAAATGCACTGTTAATTATATTTGTCAGTAAATGTTAACAAGGATGATCTGCTGGACTTTCCTCCTTCTTTCTACATTATCATGGAGTTTGAGAAGATAGCACATAGTTTTCACATAAAGCAGTAAGGGTAGCAGTCACAAATGAGAATCACAATACAGACTATGAGGTCAAATCCTGACTTTGCCATGTATGATCTAGACCTTGGGTAGTTTACCAAACCCCTCTGTGCCTCAGTTTCCTAAATCATAAAATGGACAAATTTTTAGTACTTTCTTCAGAGGATTCTTATGCAGATTAAATGAACTTTAACAAAGAATGAATGGGCTTGGAAGGGTGAATGCACACATACAGGACTCAATAATCAGGAGCTATTATTAATGTGTCCAGAATCTGCAAATATATTTTACAAAGGAGGACTAATTATCCTACCCTCTTATAGTTTTGAAATTTCTAAGATTGAAAGATGTCAAAAATCAAGCCCCACCAGGCTTGATGGCACATGTCTATAATCGCAGTGGCTCAGGAGGCTGAGGCAGAAGGATCCTAGTTCAAAGCTAGCTTCAGCAACTTAACAAGGCCCTAAGTAGCTCAGTGAGAATCCATCTGTAAATAAAAAGTGCTGGGGATGTGTTTCAGGGGTTAAGCACCCCTGGGTTCAATCCCAGGTACCAAGAAAAAAAAATCAAGTCCCACAGCATAGGAAGTGAGATCCCTTACCAGCAAAGTCGCCATACCATGAAAACTTAACTAAATCCTAGTATACTAGTCTGCACAATACCTGAGTGGGAGTTACTTGTATCTCTCAGAGGTCATTTTAACCTGACAACAAGCTTCAGCTTAAGAGATGCATTAAATGTAGAATTTCAAGCTCTTTAATGTAGCAGAAGAAACCGTTAAGAGCCTTGGAAACCATGCACCTTCAGTAAGGGTTGACTCTGCCTACTCATACAAATCCAGCTATTCATCTCAAGAGAGTTAAGTTTTACTAAGAAATAGAGTTCTGTCGTCCCTGGTGTTCTCTGATTCTAACTTAGTTCTCTGAAAGTTCAAGTCTGAGTGTGAACCTAAATTATCTGACACCTTCTTAGGAGAGAAAATGAGGAAGGGAAAGAAAAACCCTCTCATGACTCAATTTCTCTCTCTCTCTCTCTCTCTCTCTTTATCTATCTATCTTATTATTATTATTATTAATTTTTTTGATTATGTAAAGATATAGAAGACTTAGAGAAGCTCCTGAGAGAAGCTATCATCTATGGTCAGCCTCGAACTCGCAGAGCTTGGAAGAAGATTCTCATCCTGGTAGAGGGCATCTACAGGTATGTAAATAACCACAGCCATTTTAACACCCATAGAAGGGATGATCGATAGGGGAAAACTGACCTTTCCTAGGTAAATGAAGAAACAAATTAGGTATGGATATTATGAAAAAAAACCTGAAACAGAGTTACTTATGGGAGTTGTCAGTCCTTGGGTCTCCATCTTTTCAGTGACATTTTGCATATGGTGGAACACCTTGGAGGTTCACATGCTCTTGAAGCCTTCATCAAAAGTGTTCTCATAATTAATTTGTGTTGATTCTTTCCACTACCTTTACCTGCCCTGGGGTTTTAGACATCTTTTGTGACTGAGTTACTCAACATCAGAATGTTCCTTGCCTTTCCTCTGTAATATTAATTTCAATCAGTGGCCCCTGATACCGCTAACTAGCCAGTGCATTCAACCACCAGCTGCTTTCTGAATTTGGCCAACTTCACGTTCAGTGACTGGCATCAGAAGACAAAAAGCTTTCTCCAGAGCCAAGGGAGGAGGGAGGATGGCAGTGTGATGATCTTAACATTTTAATATATGCTCAGGATCAAGTTTTTCTGTCTCCTTTTAAGTTGGGCAAACACTAAGCCATTCATAGCTGTACTTTTATATTTCCGGTTATGATACAAATCGCTTCATTCTCTACCTAAACGAATTACCATTGTTAAAATGAAAGTCACATCTAAGCATTTTTTTTGCTGTTGGGTTTCCTAATCCATAGGCCAAGGAAATATTATCTTGGAGGTACCAATTCCTACCTAAATCAATTCTCAAATAATCTTAATGTTAGAGTATTCAAGGGAGAGATTTACTATGAAATAATGATAGAGAAGTGAAAAATGTTAAAAGGAAAGAAAGGCTGTTTAACCTTCCAACCAGGAGGAGTATGACTGCAAAGGAGGCTTAAGAACTAGCTACCTTCAGCTGGCTAGTCTGATCAATCCCTGCACGTGTTTCTCTTACATAAGTAATGTGTTAGTCAGCTTTATGTTGCTATGACCAAAATACCTGACAAAACCAACTTAGAGGAGAAAAATGTATTTGAGACTCGCAGTTTCAGAGGCTCAGTCCATGGTTGGTCACCCTCATTGCTTTGGACCTGAGGTRAGGTAGATTATCATGGTGGAAGGAAAGTGGCAGAGGAAAGCTACTCACCTCATGCTGGCCAGGACGCAGAGAGAGATGGGAAGGGGCTGCAGGGAAGACAAACCTTTCCATGACACACCCCCAGTGAGCCACCTCCTCTAGGCGTATACTAGCTGCCAACATTTAACCACCCAGTTAATCCATTCAAACCAGGATGGACTGTTTAGTTTACAACTGTCATAATATAATAATTTCACCTTTGAATATTCCTTATTAACACAAAAGCTTTGGGAGGACACCTCAGATTCAAGCCATAACAACTGAGWAACAAATAACTAAAGAAATACACTACCATCCATTTTAGAAACAGGCAAATTCTCCCATATTTAAAATAATAATGATAATTATGATATCTTTTTTTAAAAATTTAACTCTAGTACTTGCCTCCCAAAGTACTGCTGTTCTGAATATTCCCAGAGCTAGTGAGGGGTTGCAAAGGAGGCTTTTAAATTTCTCATAGCCTACTTCCTGCATCACCTATCATTACCTCCTAAGGTCACATTACCCAGCAGTGTGGCACTAATACAGAAGTCTTTGGGACTCTAAACTAGTGGTCCTCAACTGTCCCCAATGTAGGCATATTTGGCAATTTTCAGTTACTACATTTGCAATAGGATGCCGCTGGTATCTAGTGGGGAGAGGCTAGGGTAGCTGCTAAGCATTCTGCAATGCACAAGACATCTTCCCTCACAACAAAGAATTATCTAGCTCAAAATGGCAGTAATGCCAAGTTTGAGAAACCCTGCTCAAGAATAATGAACTCTTCACTAATCCTAAACTTGCTAATTTTAACAAGCAATCTCATATTTACTCTGTGTCATAACCTCAAGTATAGCTATTTCTCCTTGTGTCATGTGTGCCAGTGCCAGCCTCGGAAAGGAAGAAGACAGCCCTTATCAAACACCTGTCATTCAGACTTGGACTAGTGGGAGTATATATGGGCCAAGGGAAAGCACACCAGGCATCTCCTTTAACTAGAGTAATTGAAATCGATTAAAATAAACAGAACTAGATTCTACTGATGGATAATTAAGTTTCAGGCATTTTAACCATGGCTGAAACTAAGAGTRCCACCACCATTTTAATGTCAAATATTCTCATTAGTTACACAGAGAAACCATTTCAGCTGAAGAATTTGTTAATGGTATGTGGGCCTGTGTCCTACCATGATATCAGAAGGACAAGCAAGCCAGGTGTGGACTTCTGGCTCCAAGCCAGTGTGGCATTAACCTATAATTTAGGTTGCATTAGCAATGGTAACTGCTCAGTTGTCCATTGCTATGTGACAAATCACCCCAAAGCACAATGGTTTACACAGAAGTGATTTATTATTCTCCATTCTACCTGGGTCATCTGAACCAACTGGGCAGTACTTCTGCTCTATGTTGGATTCTTCCTGGGACTGTGTTCAACTGAGAGTTCAGCTGGGACTGGAATATCCAAAATTATGTCATTTACACCTCTAACCCTTGGTACTGGCTGTTGACTTGGGTGCCTTATTCTCTTTCACATGGCTTTTTCTGCATATATTCTCTTTCTGTTTGACTATTTAGCCAAAGCTTCCTTACAACACAACAACTAGCTTCCAAAGGAGCAAAAGCAGAAGCTGCCATCATTTTAAGGGATTGCCCCTTGAACTGAAACAGCATCACTTTTGTCATGCCCTGTTGGCCAAATCATATCATAAGGCCATCCCAGATTCCAAGAAGGTGAAATAGACCTTGCCTATATATATTTTTAAATTTTTTTTAGTTGTAGTTGGACACAATACCTTTATTATTTATTTATATTTATGTGGTGCTTCAGATCAAACCCAGTGCCTCTCACATGCTAGGCAAGCGCTCTATCACTGAGCTATAATCCCAGCCCTAGACCTTGTCTCTTGATAAGAGAATCAACTTGAGTACACAAGGATAGGAATACTTGCAGGCTGTACTTGTTGGAGGCAGTTTACCATAGCATCTCAATCAACCTGGCATTTATGCAGAGTGAAGTCTCCCCTTGACATAGACATTCTTAACAAAGAGGCTCCTATCCTATCTGCACATGATAGGATGCCCGAAAGGTCTTATTTATAGACAGGAATCAGGGCACCTCTTAGAAAATGCCAATACCACATGGAGCCTTAGTTTCCTCATCTGTAAAATAAGGCTAGCCTAAGGGGAGTTCTTCAGCAAACCTTAATGGGAAAGTATTCATACAGGGGTTCTAATTTTCAGCTATCACCAAAACATGGAATCATTCCCAGAGGATTTTTCAAAGTTAGAAATGTAAAATCAATAGTTTACAACTGTACTTCCACTTTTGAGGGGTGTATTATGAACACGGATCTAGGTGATGCCTTCTCAAAGCCTCCTTTGAATTTTAACTTCTAGGATTTTCTTTTTTTCTCTTGCTCATGGTCTGTCAACATGGAAAAAGTACCCCCACCACAAAGAGCTCACATATCGTATATTTTTCATAATGCCAAAAAAGATCAGTCGGCCAAATCAGAAAGTTCCTGAGAGGTATCACTATTGTCATGTATTTTTTAGAATAAATAAATAAATAAAATTTTAAAAATAAAAGATTTAAAAAGACTAGGTACCAAGACTAAAGAGTCAAAAAAACTCCACAAAAGTAATATAATAATAATTATTATTATTAAGTTATATCAATTATGATTAATGTCACCAACTGTACGTGTTATTTTATTTTTATATATAATATAGAAGAGTCAGGATTTATAGGCAGGTCTGGAACCTGGGTTCAAATCCTGATGTGGCTGCCTTCAACTATGTACCCTCAAAGGAGCTATTTTGAAAGTATTAAATGAGATCATATAAGTTGGTCTTTGTCAGAGGCCTGTCCCATAGAAAGGCCACACAGAGTGGCTGTCTTCTTCATGATATTTGTTTACAATTGAGTAAGTTGCAACATATATTGGCCGCAAAGCTCTTTGCACTTCATTCACACCAAGAGCAGATGTCAGAGGATGGAATCATAATTTACCATGTGTCTGCTCCTTGCTATGTATTTCACAAATGCAGTCTTGAATAATCCTCTCAGTGCCCCTGAGGTTATTTTGAAGATGAAGACACTGAGGCTGAGAAGCCTAGATAACTCTCCCCAAGACAGATAAATGAGATAAAGCAGAGCTAGGATTAAACCCAGGTGACCTTGGTAGGACAAAGGCTCAATAGAAACACAAGAGTCAGCCCATCTGTCCACATCCAAGGAAGTAACCATGGAAACCCAAGATCACTCATTTCAACTTTTACAACTAGTCTATCTAGACTTTAGTTTCTTTATAAAATGGGGAGATTGAAACTTGAAGTCTCAATAAATCTATGATTTATGATCCCATGATTTCCATATACCTATGTAAATATTATAATGCAATAGTATTATTTTAGTATTCTGATCTGCATTTTCCTATTGTTTTAAAATCATATTTTTGTAGGGTTTTTTGTCTCTGAGAAATCTAGATTTCTTATTAACTCGTGGTGGTTCAGAAATCTCAAAATTATTTAAAAACATACTAGATAAGGAAAATATCCCAAATAACCTGGAACCTAAACTAGCATGGGAGGAGCCCAAACTTCAAAAAAATGCACATATAAACTTATGCTGAAGTCTCAGAATGCCATCTGATTTAAGAATAGACTAAGTAATCCATTTGGCTCTCCAAAACAGTATAAATTAAGAATTGAGAACTTTAATGGTAAAACACTATCCTATATCTCTATGGTTTAAACATGTAAAAGCAAATAATAATGAAAGAATAGTTATTTTTAATCATAACTCTCTCCCTACCCACCTCCTCTCATCTTTGGACCCACCAGGGTGATTTTTCCACATGCAAATTGGCCAACCAATGGTTTAATTTCCAATCCTGCCAGTGGATAATATGGTTTATATGTGGAGAGAAAGGTGATGAGAGGGAGATTTCAAAAGGGAGTCTTGTCACTTAGCTAATACACACTATGTAATAGAAAATATATAAAGAAATGATTCACTGACTTGCTGGTTTAAGAATAATTCAAGTCCCTGCACAGAGCTTTCAAATTAACTGATGGAATTATCTTTACTTGTAGTTACACTTTAGTTGTTTTTTCTTCTATTGAAGTTAAAAATATAATCTTTCCTTTACAAAGAACAAAATGCTGTTCTTTCTTCTTTGTTGTTTTGGGTGCTTTTTTTACAATAATTCATGATAATAAGATAGTTTTTATGCAAGATTTTAATATCCCACTAAAAGAAAAGGTTCAATTAAAATATGATCACACTGAGAAAATGAAAACAGCTGAGTTCTCCCTAGGACTCTATGTGTGCCCCGCATTAACTTCAGAAATCAGCAGTACTGTACAGTCATTAATCTTAGAGGAAGAAATATAAACCAGGTGGGCAGGCTCCTAACATCAACTAGACTAGCCCCATGGAAGGATGGTTAATTACCTGCCGAGAGTGTCTATAAACACTATTCAACATTAACTGCCTCCTGTCAAATCCCGTTCCAGAACAAAGGACGGCTATTTGTGGCATGTCAAATATTTTTAGCATATTTGTGTTACCAACTTATAACATTTTAAAGATGAGAAGAAAGTTCTAGAATTCCAAAGGCCCAATGCCATTTATTATATTTGACACCCACAATGACACCCACGTGCCTCATTCCTAGAAGATTCAATGCAGGGCATTGTCAAGAGCTCCCAATTTTCCAAGTTRGACCTCATTGCAACCACTTCCTCCTACATGCCTCCTCCCAGGAACAATAACAATTCACTGAGCACTTGTGTGTCACTTTACAAGCACGATTTCTAGTTATATTCTAAAGACCCTGTGAGGAGGGCTCCATTGTCATGCTTATTTTACATAGGAAGAAACTGAGGCAGAGAATGGTACATAAGTTGCCCAAGTTTCCAGCTAGTGGCCATGGTCTAAATTTAGGCAGTCAGATGGCCATCCTGCCTCCCCTTCCATGCAGACAGCTTCAACAAGCAGTCAACCTAAGAAAATGTTGGAATTAACTCACAAATTTACCTAAGAGAAGACATCCAAAGTAACTTTGCAAAAAACACAAATGTTGTGCTCAGTGATAATCATACTCTCCTCAAACCCACCTACTTTGGTCTGGATAACTATGCAACCAGCTGCACTACTGTGATCCAATCAACCTCACATATAAGCTTATTTTTTTTAAATACACTAAATTTAATCTAATAAACTGATTATAAAGGAAGCAGTAGTTCAACTTTGTTTGATTGAATTGATTTAGTCCTTGAACTAAATTAAAGGGGTGCTAGCATTGTTTGACAAGCTCCTTTGTGTGGCGAGCATGTTGAGTTTGAGTGTTTTTGTGAAACTCGCCTGTCAGGGCAATCGAAATTGTGTGCAGTGTAGATACAGCCCAYAGTTTTCTGAGAATGGATGAAAGTCCAAAGTTCTAAACCCATGGAATTCTAAAAAACAAACAAACAAACAACAACAAAAAAACATGTAAATATAAATTTTAATTTTATTGATTGACATTATATTTTTCCCTTTGTTGGAAGATTTAAGTGTTTTTGCAGTTTACAATCCCATGAAAAATAAAATACTTAGGTCTAAAGCAAAAGGATTCCTCTGTAGCATTTGTCTTCCAAGTGTTGTCCCCAACCACTGGTGTCCGCTCTCCTGGGAGCTTAGGCACATTCAAAGCCCCACCCTAGACCTACTGAATCAGAAACTCTCTGGTAGGGAACACAACTTAAACCCTTCGGGGGATTCTGACACTTGCTCAACATCGTTTCATTGCCCAAAAGGAACAGAAAGAAGGAACTCCACAGGATGCTTCCAATAAGACTTTGACGGGTAGTGAGTACTGAACAGAGGTCCTAGGGATTGTCTATTATGCTATAATCAATGCCATGATGTATTAAGTCGGTTTTTGGTGTGTTTTTAATTCCTTCTTTTAATCTTTGGCAAATCCACGCACTTAATTTAGGTCAGACAGGCCTGGCCAAACAGGCAAAAGCAGGTGGATAAAAAGTGGGTCATCATAGAGCAATTTATAACTAGTAGAATACCTAGAAGCCAAAAATGGTCTGTCTAGTTACAATAATCAGCTTTACAAATAAACTGGATCAAAAATAAGGTGGGTTAATTGTTGGCTTGGAGATTAACTGTAACAACCCAAAGTGGTTCAAATTCATTGAATGTAAATTATTTTACTCAAGTAGCTTAGACGTGCCAGACCACCCTTACAAGATTGAGAGGACTGTCTTATTTTAAAAAATATATATATGCCTTGAGAAGAAAGGAATGATATGTCCCTGACACCCCCTAGTTGTGTCAGAACAGGCTATCTAGGATGGTTAGAAGAGAGACGAATAGAGCTTCACAGGAAAGTATTTGTTGATTATGAGCATTTGATTATGAGCATTTTATTCCTAGCATGGAAGGTTCCATTGTGAATCTGCCCCAGATTGTGGCTCTGAAGAAGAAATACAAGGCCTACCTCTACATGGATGAGGCTCACAGTATTGGGGCCTTGGGCCCAACTGGCCGGGGTGTCAGAGAATTCTTTGGAATGAACCCTGATGATGTTGATGTGTACATGGGCACCTTCACCAAAAGCTTTGGATCCTCTGGAGGTTATATAGCTGGAAAAAAGGTAAGGAAGGGATTCCTTATGTCTTTTTAAACCCTGAACAYCCGAAGCATGTCAGCAGGGCTTCTCTGAATTCTTTGAAGGTATCAATTCAATGCACCTTGTCTTGTCTAATCTCTGTAACCTGTTCAGAGCCAGGCAAGGCCTGGAACATCCTAGAACTCACACTCCAGTGATAAAGAGAAACCTGGGGTGAATGATTACATTATAATAATAAGAAAAAAAGAAATGCTAGCAGTGTGCACAAGGTACAGAGGATCCAGATTCTCCAGGGTAGGATCTGGGATCTTTTAGAGTGAATTTCAATCTATAATTGAAATCTAAATTTTAAATGAAGACAGATATTAAAGAGGCTGACCCCATGGGTTTTAAAAGTGTTGATCTAAAGAATGACAGGATCAGGAACAGACTTTTAAGACACTTTGTCTACAAAACTATACTTACTCATGTTGTTGGATAAGTGATAGGCCAAATATTGTCATTCTCTAATTTCTTATCTATATAACTAAAAAAAGGTTCTGATTTGATGTGATTAGATGATTAAATGAATTCTAACCCTGATATTTGAGTGCCCATATATCACCAAGGGGTTTGTAAACATACAACAGCAAATATTGGAAAGAAATTTTTAAAAAAGAGGGACAAGAAGAAAATCAAATATTCAAACTCCCCRGATCAGGGAGTGAGTTGTCAACCTCCTTACATACAGCCTTACCAACTCTTACAGGTCTTCTCACACAAGCCTACACCTGTCCTAAACAAATTGTGTGACCATGGAGTTTGGTTCTACATTCATGGCACCACAGGCCCCAAACTAATGCATGCAGGTGGCATCTATAGCTTGTCTAAAATTCCCAATTCCCTTCCCCTATGACCAACAGGAACACAAGCTCAGCCTCCTGGACGAAGCAGTGAAAGTCTGTGATTTAAAATAACAAATTTCATTTTAGCCACTCTCCCTGCCATGAGATGTACAGATGCTTTAAAATGTTCAGAGTTTAAAGTGGTCTTTTACCCTTCAGTAAGTACTGCTTTCTTCTGGGGCTCGAAGCATGGTTTTTCATCCTCCTCTACTGTGGGAATTAGCAGGCTAATGCTAAAAACATAGGAGAGACCCAAATTCTTACAAATGTCAGCTAAATCTAGGGAAAGGTTAAATATCCCCTCCCTAACTGTCACAGCAGTGGGATCAGAAGGTCTCAAATTTAGAAGCTCCCTCATCCAGGTTACATTGCTTTGTGAGGTTGTGGTTTTGTGATTACTTTAGCAGCAGTCTGAGCTACAAAATTTGTAACCAAGCGTAACTGTTTCCTGAGCCAAAGGCACCTGAATAAACTGAAGCAAGCAGATCCTTGAAATGCTGTCAAATTGGGTAGATGTCACATTTTTCTCTTTTGAGTGTCTTCGTTTGTTACCCACTTTAAACAAAGGCCYGTGATTAGCTGCAGTTAGGACCAGCTTGCTATGATTTTCTCCCACTTTCCATCCTGAAGTCAGTTGTCATATTTAAAAGTGGAGGTACTCTTGCCTACATGACATCTATTCATTTGGGGATGGATACTAAGCAAATGTAAGATTATTTACATTAATTAGGATTGCAGAATAAGTTTTTACATTTGTTCATRTCTTTGCACTTTGAAAATTCAATTTTGTTCACCATATTTGGATCCAGCAAGCTGCCTCATGCACACCCCTTCTCTTCTTCCCCTCCTCTCTTGTCCCCAAACTCCATGTTACATGCAGTTTCTGAATGCACCACTAGATGGCAGCAGGAATTAGAGAGTGTTTGGCAGAGGTTCATCCGCCAGGGCCCTAAACCAGCAAGATATGAAATCTTGAATACATAAGGTAGTTTGGAAGACCTGGAGAGWGAGCAGAGGACACCTAAGAAACTGCGTGTGTGGATCATTCTCTGATGATTTTAAATTTAGTCAGACACATATCTGACTGGAACAGTTTAGGTGAGACTATAATAAACCCAGATAAATTCATTTCTTTCCAACCTAAATGGCCCATGAAGTAATACAATTTATGTATCTGCTCCTTGATATCTTTATAATTTTTAATTATATTAATTTAAAATTATATGTACTTCTTACTTAAGTCACATATTTTATTCCCCTAAACTTTATATAATTTTGTGAACAATTTCATTTTAAAGTCTGTTTTAAACWATGCTTTTGAATCAAAAGAGCATAGGATTGGGCAAATAGTAAAAATTTTTATTTGAAAAAATATTTCTATTCATCTATTTAAATAACTAGTGCACAGTTTTCAAAGTTTATGAAACTTTGGATATTTGGAAGTATATATTTCAAGGCGGTGGGGGGGACTACAAAATAAATCTAAGATTCAAAACTAATGGTTACAAAATTAACCATAAAAAAGTTAAGTGCACACTCTTAGTCTTGACATTTTTCTGAAACTCTAAAAAATTTCAATGTTATTGGGTTCTTAGTAAATCTTGAAATTGGAAAATAATCATGCAAATACAAAAATCTAGAAAAATATTTGAAAAAAGACAAAAATATATGGCTCTGAAATCTCTTTAAATGGCMTTACTCATGTAGAAGGATGATATTCCCAAAAACAGTGTTTGGGAAGTTCTAGAAATCCTTGAAGAATGGGTCAGGGTCAGCTTTATACATTAGTAACTGAACAAATCATATAAGAAATCAATATCTTGTTTGTTTGAGAAAAATTGGCTTTGTGCTGGTAGGACCACAGACAATAGTGGTTGTGTTTGGGTCTCAGCCTTCCCCTCACAAATGTCCTACAAATTTATATCTGCTTATTAGAGATTGTTTCTGGGCTGTGGCTTGCTTTCCCTACCTCAGGTAAACTGTCAAAGCAATTTCTCAAAAGCTTGCAAGAGTTTTTAATTTTGTTCACATGGTGTTTGGAGCWGCTATATATACAGAGTGAACAGTCCATTTGGAGGACCCTGTCCTTTTAAGACCTTTTAGATGAAATGTCAGATAATCCCTTCCCTCCCCATGTCAGAGCTCCATGCTATGAATGACTTCTTTGAAGAAAGCCTGAGGTGATAGGGCTAGGTTTCTTTCTGCTTTCGTTTCTTTCTTTCTCTTTTTCTTTAAGTTTTATTTATCCAGTTGCTGGGAAGATGTGTTGCACACAGCAGACCCTCAGTTTTTCTCCAGGCATAGATCTGCAGACTCCTTGCATGCCTTTGCTATTCACTGGCTTCCACAGCCTCCAAAGGCTGGCCAGAAAGTGGCAAATGAATGAAGCAAAGGTTGTCCTCATGACTGATAGGTTGCAGGGCTGAAATTCTGAAAGAGGAGAGTRGGATAGGGCAGCAGAGTTTGGGGTGATCATTAGCCCCAGCAGCCTGCATGCCAGAAGGAGGCAAGCCCCTTGCAGAAGCCAGCTCTGCCCTGGGTGTATTTAACAGCCCTTTGAAGTAAATAGGGGTCATGGAATGAGTACCAAGATGTTTATTCTAAGAGCCTCCTGTCTGATTTCCTCCAGAAAACCCACCCTTGTCCTTGAACTCCAGGCCTATGGGTAAAGAAAATAATCAGGGTTTTGAACTTACAAATGGACTTAGAAGCCTCATTCTGAGCAGACCTCTAACCCACACTGAAGAAAGACACTACCCAGACTAACCTTACAAAAGACCAAAGCCAACGCCTAATTCATGGCTCAAGGAGCCCAATGGGGGGTGTGGAAAGAAAGAAAGGGAACCAGTAAGCAAGAATTGAGGCTTTCCTTGACACTCTCCAGAAGTTACTTAAAGACTCCCATTTTCTGAACCGCACAGCAAATTAACCCTCATCAGCAAACTCAGACTGAGAGAAAGTGAACTCAGTCCAAAGGAATAATAATGTAATATGGAAGGTCTTCGTGTTGTATTGATGGGCTACTTACTCAAACTGAGAATGCTTGTGAAATTGTCAGTTTATGAAAGAAAATTGGAGTTGGGGACAGTGGGAAKCAAAAGAGGCTTTGTTTCCTTGTCTGGTCTTGGTCAGCAGTGCCCTTCAGACCAGGAACATTTGCTATACTTGTTCCTAAGAATGCAGCTTAGTACTCCCTTTATACATCAAGGAGTCCCCCTATCCTTCTTGCATCTTTGAAATCCCTCTACCTTCCACTAGATAATTAGGATGTGCTGGACCCCTGCTAAATACCCACTTCTGTGGATTTCAGGAAAGTGTACTAGCTCTATCCCTATTCCCAACAAGCTTTTCTTTCCTTTGAAGAAACAATATTAATAGACATGAAACGTTTAAAGACAGAATTCAAGCTGTGGTTTAGGACACTGTAGACTGGTGTATATCCAGAATTCTTTCCCATCTCCCCCATGAAAGGGACAATCTCTGTGGATCAGGAGAGTATCACAGAATAAGGCTAATGCCTTAAGTCAGGACATCATCATACACATGCTCTTTGACTAGAGGAAAACTCTCCCAAAGAGTTTCACCAAACTGATATGATTCACAAAAGAACAGAATAGACGTAAAGTTAACTTTCATCATAAACATGGGTAATAGACGCCAGGGACCAGAGTATGGTCCCTATCTGTCCTCCCTTCCCTCTTGGACTGCCACACATAGGTCAGAGCAAGTCTTTGGCAAACACTGTCTAGAAGGAAAGATGGAAGAAAGGAGTGGGAAGAGGAAGAAAGGAGAGAAGAGAGAGAGTGAATGAAAAAAAGTGAAGGAAGGAAGAAAATACTAAGGAAAAAACATTTCAATGGAAAAATTGAAATGAAAAAAATAAATAAATAAAGAGGGGGGAAAGTAACCCTAGTCCAAGGAAGAGAGAAAGAAAGAACCTAGGAAGAAAAGAAGAAACAACCAAAAGGAATAAACCATTTAAAGYGCAGAAGAAGGAGGAAGAAAGTAGAGAGGAAGGCAGAGAATGAAGGACCTTGGAGGATGCAGGAAGGACAGAATGGAGCTTTTGGCTCCCCCTAAAGGCCAKGTAGAGTCATCACCTATTGATTTAACCTTCACACACCACATGTGAGGCTGACCAGCCACTTTACTGAGGAAGATGAACTTCAAATGTTCAAAATACTCGTAAATTAAAAAAAAAAAAAATGCCTACAAATACCCCAAAAAAAGATGAGAAAATGAGAGGCAGGGCCCATTCCCAGGCTCAGAGGGGGGAATATTTATATGACCAGTGAAGGAGGGTTAGAAGGATATGGACCTACCCAAAAACAAAAGATCTCCATTCCTAAGAGCTCTTCCCAGTTCACTGCCATAAGGAATAATTAGAGACTTAAAGGGAATTTTAAGCTATGATGATATCCTAGAGAAAATGGTGTATCCTTTAAAGACCTCACTCTTAATTCATAGTTACCACTAACTGCCTTAGTTTTTCTATAGGACATCCAGAGAGTCCCAGGCCATGTGCTAGTGAAGTCAAGCTGAGCACATGCAAATACCAGCTCTGARTCCCTCCCCATTGTGGCATTGGATTTTTGGAACTTCTTAGGACTCTCAGCAAACTTTCCTGGGACTTTATAATTGGCCCCAGAAGTTAGGCATGTGGGTTAAATATTGTTCCTACCCCTGAAAACCAAAATTCTGTAATGGYTCAGCACTCCAAAGATTGTTATACAAAAATTCCAATAGGTCTCTATGGCCTAAGGCACAATCTGCATTTATCTGGTCCTATCCTGTATCCTGGTTTAATTTTCCACTATCCCTACCTAACTAGTTCTCTGCTAGCCTACAAAAAATGTGTATCTGTTAGTCTTTTCTAAATAACAAACCACCCCAAAACTTAATGACTAAAACACCACRTGTATTTAGCTTACAATTCTATATATAAACAATATGGGCTAGGCTYGACTGGGCTACTTTTTGGTCTCATCTGAACTTGTCCTTGTGTGACAGTCAGCTGTTGGGTCAACTGATCACTGGATGGCTGGAGTGGCCTTTGCTGAAATGGCATTGCTCTACTCCACATGATCTCATCCCCCAGCCAGCTAGCTCAGACTTCCTTTGCATGGCAGCTTAAGAAGGTTCTAAAGAACAAAATTCCTCTTAAGGCATAGGCTCAGAACTAGCTCACCATCACTTCTGCCACATTCTACTGCTCAAAGCAATTCACAAGGCCAGCCCAGAGTCATCTGTCTCTTGATGGAAGGGCCTACCAAGTTGGATTGCAAAGATGTATGGGTACAGGGAGTAAAAGAATTACAAAAATTTCTTKGCTAACAAATCAAATATACGTGCTTTCTGCTCTCTTGCCTCTCTGCACCTTTGATTTCTCCCTTGTGCCACCCATTTCTTACAAGTTTTCTTTTCTTGTTTATCTTCATTCTTCAAGGCTTAATCGATCCCATCTTCTCACTGGAAGCTTCCCAATCTATTCCAACTATCTACCAGCAGCCTCTCTCTTTCCTATGCATCTTGTAGCCCTGTAAAATACATGTATTTGCATATCTATTATTTCTTGTACCCTTCCACTTCCATAAGCATGATCATATGTAATATTCTCAAGGGCAAGAACTATTTCCTGTATTCTTTGGATACTCCTGAATACTAAGGCAGGCGGTRCTCATATGTAGTAGGCATTCAGAAGTGTTTCAGAAATCATTTTTCCTTCATACATCTGGTTTTAAATTGAAGATCTTAATTCAAACTTGTAGCACCCTCCCCTTTATACTGTTCATAGGTGTTTGAAGGAAAGACTAAGAAAAAAGGGATAGAAAAAATAAGCAATTGGCAATCCCCATTGGAAACCAGAGCACATTCATCTTTTGAGCTGAAAAAATCAAAATATCTTTTGTTGCAATGAATGGGGATGGAACTAGATTTGATAATCACCACCAGTACTGATATTTATTTGCCTTCTTTTTTGGTTTCCTCTTTTCTTTAAGGAACTTGTGGATTATTTACGGGTTCACTCACATAGTGCTGTTTATGCAACATCCATGAGCCCCCCGATTGCAGAGCAAATCATCAGATCCCTGAAACTCATCATGGGCCTGGACGGGACCACACAAGGTAAGAGCATCTTCAAAGAGCACAGTTCTCTTGAACTCCTCTCTCAAACCTCTCTGTCAATCTGCCTCCTTCTCAAGTACACATCCTTGTCTTATGAAGTCCAATTTGTAAATCAAATTGGGTGACAARTATACTATAGCTGTTGTCAGTACACACATACATACACACATGTACAYGCACAAATCCTTTGTTAAACAAAGAAAATCTTCTAATTCACCCTTTAACATGATTAGCAAATTTGGACAATTTTGTGTGACCCATGTTAAAATGAAGTAAACATTGTGGTGTGTGTGTGTGTGTGTGTGTGTGTGTGTGTGTGTTTGCCTATATATGTTTGAGCTCTGTCTCCTGTATTTCCCAGAGACCAAATTAGTCTATTTAATATTCACTTCTTGAAACGCTTTTGTATTTTTTCCGGCAGAGGTTAGGCAAGGGAAAGCCACCAGTGGCCACTTGAGGACCTATGGGGAAAACACACACAATAGCTTTCCAGTCATTTATTTGTCATTTAKTTGTCATCGGGTCACCTCATCTAAAATTTGGCTACTTTGTTCAACCCAAATGAATATAATCTTCTTTTTGAAGAATTTCTTTTTGAAGAATGGTTTCATCAAAGCCTCTTGGAACTGTCCTTCTATCTTTCAGACCTCTTTTATAGAGTTTTTACTATGTGTCACATACCAGTGGGGACTTCAATGATGAGTAAAGCAACTCTCCCTGCCAGGCAAGCTAGTAAGCACRTTTATAGAAGTAGCAAATCATACTGATCCCAGAACAGGCCACTAGGCTAGGCAATTCTTGTATTCTGTCCCTCCTTCCAGCTGGTCCAAAGCCCTGGGTTGTTTAGTGCAAACTTCCAAACCTATTTCAGTAGATACATGGTGATATCCCTCCTTTTTAAATATTATTAAAGGCAGCAGAATACTTACTCAGATATGTGTTTTACCAGAAACCTAGGACCTGTTGGCCATTCACAACCTGAAATTCTGAAATCTCAAATGCTCTAAAATCTGAAACAAAATTTTTGAGAGCTGACATGATACCACAAGTGGAAAATTCCATACCTGACTTCATGTGATAGGACATAGTCAAAGCAAGTGATTAAAAATATTTTATAAAATTACCTCTAGGGGGCTGGGGTTGTGGCTCAGTGGCAGAGCACTTKCCTCACACATGTGAGGCACTGGGTTTGATCCTCAGCACCACATAAAAATAAATAAACAATATAAAGATACTGTGTCCATCTATAACTAAAAAATATTTTTTAAAAAATTACCTCTAGGTTAGGTGTATAAGGTGTATGTGAAACATATATGAATTTTGTGTTTAGACTTTAGTTCTGTCCTCGACATATCCCGTTATATATATGCAAATATTCCAAAATCCAAGAAAATCTGAGATCCAAAACACTGCTGCTCACAGCATTTCAGATAAGGAAAAAATCTATGTTCCTCATTTATAGCAGAGAAGAATAAGGCTGGTCTGGTTAAAGCGGTGTCTCCATACATTCTGACCTATAGCCACTGCGGCCCTTCTATTAAGCTGTAGTTCTCCCCAGGATACTTATCTGGAAACCACAAAGTAAAACATTTTTCCCCCTAAATCAGGAAAATGGCCTGAAGAATGGTTTCTGATAATTTCTCTTCCTCCTATAAAATTTAGTGGTTGATTGATCTCTAAGGTCTTCCCTGGGATTGCATCTTGTTAAATGCTCTTTGCAAAAAGGAAATTCAAACCCAGTATAGGAAGTCCTGATTTTACAGGCTGAAGATAGTTGAATCTACTTCCTAGAATCTACTTAGCGTTGTGTGGCCTTAGGAAAGCGATTTATCTTTTCAACCCTGAGAAAATTACTTAGATTCTCTGTGCTTCAGTTCCTCCAGCTGTAAAATAAGGCAAATAACATTTATGTGTCTAGGTTTCATAAGAATTTGGTACATTAATCCATGTTGAATAATTTTAAATGTGTCTGGAAACAATAATAAGTCCTATCTAATTGTGTATTATTGTTATTTGCTATTATTACTGAAGTGTTCAAGAAGTATTTGAACACTTTTCAAGGATGCCGTAGGAAAAATTCTTACTACAGAGGAAAGTAGGACTAGATGTCTATCCTGACCCTTAATCAGGATAAACTCAGTTACACACCATAACAAATAAACCCTGAAAATCTCAGTGGATTAACARAATCAAGTTTTATTTATTGCTTGCACCAAACAAAGCTAATAAAATCAGACAACTCTTGGCACACTTCTTGTCTATAGAGCAGTGATTCAGGTCGTTTTCAGGCTTGGCCATCTTGACTCATGGCCTCTATGGTGACCAAAGTAGAGAGAAAGTGAGGTCAGTCTGTAAGTGATACTTATCACCTTGCTTATAGTTCATTGGCAAAAACTGGTCACATAGTCATACCCCAAAAAGAGGAGGTGGTAAATTAAGAGATATGGAGATTAGGCCAGGGTGTGGTAGCGCATACTTGAATCCCAGTGGCTTAGGAGGCTGAGACAGGAGGATCCTGAGTTAAAAGCAACAGTGAGGTGCTAAGCAACTCAGTGAGACCATCTCTAAAATAAAATACAAAATAGGGCTGGGGATGTGGCTCAGTGGTTGAGTATCCCTGAATTCAATTTCCAGTACCCCCCCCCAAAAAAAAGAGATATGGTGATTGTATAAGTAGTTATTTCTCAGCCTTTAAAAACTAAAGCTATTTAGAGTTACATTCATTTCTATGTGTGTCAAGTTATCTTAAAAAAACATTTCAGGGGCTGGGAGTATGGCTCAGTCATAGAGCACTTACCTAGTACGTTCAAGGCCCTGGGTTCAATCCCCAGCACCACAAAAATAAATAAATGGATGAATAATACCAAATAAAAAAAAAAAGCTGGCCTGAAACCATTGGGTTTCCACAAAGCTCTATTAGTTTTTTCTTGAACTTCAAGCACTTCTTAATGGAAAATCAATTATTTGAGATTTAAGCAAAAATGCAAGTGACTTGTCTCATAATAATCAAAATTATCCTTTGGTATTATTTTGAAGATGATTAACTAGGAAAACGTTATTTTGAAAATTAGCYTAAGTCTCAGCAGGGATTTTCACTAATTTCTTAAACTCTTTGGTGCTTTGTTCTTAGAATCAGTTGATTTATATGTATACAACTTTACAATCATTTCCTTCCCTCCTCTGGATTGCTTTACCCCTTCATTGCAGACAGAACTCACTGTTTATCTGATCAGAATTGAAGATCTGCAGAAAGATTTCATTTGAAGATATGATAATTTGCCCTTCAGTAGTCATCCATCATCAATTTTTCTTCCCCTGAGGTGGGAACTATTTCTCTTGGTTCTTTCCCTCAAACTTATGATTAAGCAATTATTTTTAACCTCATAGTTGAAGTTTCTCACTTTACTCCTCTTGCCATCTTAGAAAGAAAGAAAGAAAGAAAGAAAGAATGAAAGAAAGAGAAAAAAAACAGAACAGAGAATTCTGTGTGTATAGTCTATTTTCTTAGAGCCAAGATAGCAGAAATAGGAAGACAGATAGGAAAGTTTTCTTTCAAATAAATGAACAAAGGAAAGCAATAGAAAACTCAATTGACAGAATCATCAGCCAAGTTTCAGGTGGTTCTGCCTGGCACATCTTTTGAAGAATTCAAAGGCACCCAGTGAATGATCACACTGGCCTCATTTACAACAATGCCTGCTTTAAAGAAAATGAACAGAAACAGGTTGGGAATATTGCATTCGCTTACCCCTTTCTACAGAGACAGACTGCCTTTCAGGGTAAAGTTGCCCAACACTCAAAGGGATGCACTGTCATGCTAGAGCTGACTTACAGGATCTGAGAAAGAGGAGCCTGGCTCCAAGCCTTCATCTTCAGCCCACTCCACTGCAACTGTGATTGGAGCCTTTCAAGGCTTTGTTTCTGGTGGAGTTTGGGGAGCGGTTGGCCAGATCTGTTCCTTGATGAATGTCTTCACTTTAATCTGCAATGCAAAGCCATACGCTTCAAAGAAAGGCAAGCTACAGGAATAAGGTCAGTGTTCCTTTGATGCCAAGGTTCAAAGATGAAATAGCAGTCCCAGTGAAATGACAATGTTTATGCACAAACAGCCACCTTCACTCTGCAGCCAGGCTGCTGGTGGAGTTAATGCACACAGGCTGAGGGGCTGCAGGCCGGGTGTGCATTCCATATGCACCAAGACCGGTTTAATCTCCTGGCCTGTCACTCTGTGCAATGCAATGAGCCCAAAGTGGAGATTTGATTTCCCCATCCTAATGGATGTTGGGTGGTCCCTCAGCCAAACCCATGCTGTAAACCCCTTAAGGGCAAGAAATGTGTCTTGAATTAATTTGGTGTTCCTCTGAGTGTCAAACTCAGTGCTCAGCTTAATAAATATGTCATGACTCAACTTCCATCTTGCCAGCCTGCTCGATTTCAGGTCAGTGTTTATGCTAAATAAGATTGTGGGGATGTTTATCTCATAGGACTAGGAGCCCGGAATCAGTTCCACATCAGTTGTGGCAGCTGAAGGGATCACTCAGTGGTTGAGATTACTCTTGGAGAGGTCCAGAAAGATTGCAGCTCAGCATCTTTCTTCATCTAGACATAGCACAAGCAGCCATAGGAGGGTGAGTCACAAACTACAGACCTCTCCCCTAAAGAAAACATTGTCAACAGTTGYCTTCTTTTGTTTAAGTCTTTGATGCCTGGTTTTCAATTCATCAGTCAACATTTTTTTTTCAGCTTCCAGTCTTGACCATTCCTCTCCACACCCACTTTTCCCAATTCTGAATAACCTTTCACTTCTCAKAAAAAGTACAGATTGAATCACATAGATGAATAAAGGGGTACACGCTGTGCTAGACTGCATTGGGCCCAGGGCCTGGCCTACCATTTGCTTCATAACCGTTGCTTGCCCTCTCTTCACCTCCGTCCTGCATTGAGAGTTGAGGTTGTCAGGAAGATCAAATGATGTGAYATAGGGAACATAGTGTGATGTT